TCTACTCTTGGACTCGTCGAGTAGTTCATTAAACTCACGTGGCTACCCCGCTTCTACTCGACGAGTTATAGCACCAACTCGTCGAGTAGACCAATGATCCTCAAAATAAATAATTCAAAATAATATACCCGAAAATCCGGATGTTACAAGCTTCATTTGTTTTGGTTGAAAGAAAAAATCATATTACAATTACCATCGATGTGACATAAACCCATTTCTTCAAAGCATCATATTTGGATCGTGAATGCTTCAACTATATGAAAACTTTTGAATCACAATATCTTCAACCAAATGACGACTTTTTGTAAGAAAAATGTACTAATATAACTACATATATAATAAGAGAATGCAAAAAATTATTGGAAATTTATAAATACTATAAATGGTTTTAATTAAGGAATATAAAAAGTTATGTAGGTCTCAAATCAATATAGTTTGAGAAAACAAAATATCTCTAAACATATGATATTGAATGGTATGGTTTGAGAAAACAAAATATATCTAAACATATGATTTTGAATGGTCTTATTTATATTATTGGAAAAAAAAATATAACACGATCAAATTATGAGTAAAAAATGATACATTCATCCACAACCTTAACTTGTAGAGCTTTTTTAGGGATTCCATCACTGCAAATACGTTCTAAAAGAATTGTGCCTATTGAAAATTTTTCTTTTCATTTTCTTATGACATCCTTCTTACATGTAAGATTTTATATAACACAAAAGAGACAAAAGATTGACCTTTTTATAGTAAACTTTTCACTAAATGCTAATTAAACATAATATAAGTTATAAAACTTTTGAGTGTTAAATCATAATTAAGAAAACTTTTGAGTTGCATTAGTTAAAAAATGGGGTTTCAAATGAATGTTGTTTGAGGAAGTTAAAAAAGAGGGTTTCAAATGCATGGGATTCAAGAAAAAATGCTAGCTTTATAAGTATGTATGATAATTGATTCTTCATTTCAAATTTCAAGTTTTTAATTTTACACTTTAATTATATTAAATTCATAGCATTAGAATAAAAAATAAAATAACATTAATATATATTATAAGGAGATATAATTTAATGTATTTATTTAAACCAATGATTATAATTTTATATAACTAAAAAAATATCTACCAAAGGGCTTCTAGCCCAGCGGTATCAGGTGGTGCCCTCCCTCATTGAGGTCGAGGGTTCAAGTCTCGTGGTGGACATAAGTGAAATTAGGTCTTAGTTTAAGAGTAGATTATAATATTTGTATTTGCCGGTTAAAAAAAAACTAAAAAAATATCTCTTAATTAATAATTTATTAATACTAATTTGTTATTATAAAAATTGAATTAATTTTATCAAATAAATATAAAGCCGGCTACAGCTTTCAACTTATACCAACTTATTCCAGCTACCCGCTTTCCTACTTTGCCGACCATACCCATCATCTCACAACTTTTAACGCCGGCGCTGTACCACCGTCGTCGACCAAGAAATATTAATTGGCTGCCGCATAAAGACCACCACCACCCAAGAAACACTACTCTTTTCTGTCTCTCTATTTCTGTTTTTCAGGCAAACAACACCTTCGTCGGTAGCTTGCCGGAGGTATTGACGCCACCATTATCGGAACCACCACCGATTTGCCTGCAATTCTCACCTTATTTTCATTGAACACCTCTTAACTAAATGTTTTTTTTATGAAAATTTAAGGCCATCGATGGCTAATTTTAAGAGTTGGAACCTCACCCACCCCAGTTTTATTACATCCGCCCCTGGCTGAGGAGATTGTGGTTGAGCTGGTAAATAATCCATGTGAGAATCTGTAGGTTTTGAGTTTGAAGGCTTTGAGTTTGATCTGGTGTTGCTAGAATTTTGTGATTTGGATGGGAGTTTGTACATTTAGGTTTCTAGATGGCTTATTCAATAGATACATCAAAAGGTATGATGTCGCTATTATAACTCTCTTTGCTAACATTGTAAATTTGTGCAAATATTGACAATAATCAATGGTAATGGTTATAGTAGTAGGTTGTTATCTTTTTCCATAAACCATTTTCACTCCAATCAACCTTCAAATATCACACTATTTTTGTGTTGGTTTATTTTTTACACTAAATATAGAGGCCAAGAATGAAAGAACTTTAAAAAACACTATTTTAAAGATTGGTTGGAGTGAAATCACCATTTTTGTGTTAAAACATCATTATTTTAGTGTTTATGGTTAGAGAAGCTCTAATATACAACTTAAAAATAGGTTATTTTTCATTGATTAGTGTGCATGTTGCAGGTTAGAAAATGTGTGCAAGACTTTCCAATATTTTTTTGTAAAAAAAAGTGCAAGCAAGTTGTTAGAATCATTCAAAATCTATATGTTGTTGGCAGTTAAAATACTTTGTTCAAGATCAGCTGATGGTGAAGCTACAACCACAAGGACTTGAAATATTTTAAAAGAAATGATGAACCATGTAGCTATCTTTGAAGATGTAGATAATGATGAATCCAGGGAATTAGTATTTTGAAGATGTAGATAATGATGAATCCTAGGAATTAGTAATACTGAAATATTAGTAATATTGAAATATGAAAATCCTTTTGTGATGCACTTCTAAAAGTTCTGAGTACCCATAAAGGAACTCTCAATAAGCATTCTTTGGATGTCATCTCACATTTATTTTTGCAGATTTGGTATGTCTATTACTAGTCATGCATCATTGTTTTTGTCATAAGCACCTAGTAATCATCTTGGTTTATATATGTGATATATGTAGGGATACATTTCATACCTACATGCGCAACATAGTTCTAAAGCTTGCTAGTTTTATGGTCCGCATCTGTGATATAAAACATGTAAGTTTTCTTTCATTGGTATTTATGTCTTGTTTCTTTTTTTCAACAAAATGTTGATATTTGATATTTCAACTTCTGGAGTGTATTGTGTTTGCTTTAATTGCTATGGGGTCTGATAAAATGCATGCATTGTTACCTATCTCCGTTGATGTCAATGATGTCAATGATATAACTTGCTCAAATACTTGGATGATACCTATTTTTAAAGATTATGTTGTTTACTTATATGTGGGGTTTTTATTGAAACTATGCTTCCTCTAGTTGAATCCTTCAGAAAAATATGCAAAAAAGGTAGTGGTATCTTAACATTATCTTTTTTGCATGCTTTTCTGAATGGTTCAGGTAGAGGCATTATAGTTTCAGTAAAGAACCCCACATATGAGTGAATAACATAGTCCTTAAAAATATGTATCAACCAAGTATTTAAGCAAGTTAGATCATTGACATCAACCGAGATAGGTAACAAAGCTTGTCCTTTAATTAACAGGCGTCATAACAATTACAATAGGCCCGATACACTCCTGAAGCTGTAATATCAAATATCAATATTTTGTTGAAAAAAGAAAACAAGACATAAATGCCAATGAAAAAGAACTTATATCTTTTACATCACAAGTATTAGCAGATGCATTTGTTATAAAACTAGCAAGTTTTACAAGATCATATGAGGCGCCGCCTCAAGTGCGTTTTTCCACCGCTTTGGAAAACTCGGAACAATCTCCCTTTCAATAGCTTGAGATGCAATCCAATATGGACAACGGATGAAATTCAACTTTTGTCTGTATGCATAGAGCTAGCTTTGTTTCATTAAATTGGTTTGAGTGGTGTATATCTCCCGATTTGTATTTTTACTTGTACTTGTAACTTTTGCTAGCACATTGCTAGCTTTGTTTTAATATATTCTGCAGTTAAAAAAAAGTAATCTGTATTTGAGATTGCACCTTTTTGGTGTTTCTAAATGTGTCTTGAAGTTGAAGAGAACATGACATTATGTTGTCAAGAAAGAATTTTATCCATTAACCAGAGGTTAAAATCACACATATTAATATATTATAGAACAGCGTGACTATGGATGAGAATTTGAAGCTAAATGATGGGTAGACATTGGTCAGACTTCAGAGAATATGCACTTTTGTGGTGTATATCAATATATCATTATTATACAAGCATTGAACATAGAACATAGTTTATTATATATATTATATATATATATATATATATATATATCTATATATATATATATATATATATGACCCCCTGTATTGTATACGAACTAAACAAATAAGACAATACATATTCTTACAAGTACATATTCGACTTATTACAAGTTCTAATGGTCGATTAAAAGTTCCATTAAGGATGTGTTGATCGAATTATGGCCTATGGGTTCTGGTGTGGGGTGTGGTGGGTTTGGTAGCAAACTTTTTTTTTTTTTTTTTCTTTTTCGAAGAAAAAAAGATTATGGTGGAACCGTGGAAGGTTCTCAATTCTCATTTTCATAAGAGGTAGTGGGTCGGTAATTGAATATGGTTTTATGGGCTAGAGGTAAGTGAGTGAGGGTCGGTGAATTTGATTGGTGGCCACAATAACAGATCGGCGACTTATTATGTTTTTATACTTTTATTTGAATAAATAATACGTACATAAATTTTGTTATTAAAGATTTCCACTTAACAAATTGATCATCTACTACAATTCATATGAAACCGCTTTTTAATTATGCTTCTAAATTTACTAAATTTACAAGCTGCGAGAGCTTTGCTAATCATGTCGGTGGGTCTCACTAATTTACAAACATTATCAAATAAACCAATTTATTTAAAAAAACAAGACAAAACAAAATAAAAAGCAAGACAAAACTGTAAAATTGGTCCTTATGATTTACCAAAAACTATATATAAGGTCAAAAAAGTTTTTAAATTTAATGAAAGCAAGAATTTTCCGTAATTTTGATCCTGAAAAAATAAAAAAGACAATTTTTCCCTTTTTCATTTCTTTTATGCATTTTATATTAATGGATCTCATAAATAAGTTGATGAAAAAATTCAGAAACCTTTGAAGCTTTTTAGATTAATATTAGATTTGGTGCTTAAGTAAGGTGCCACAAAAGGCTAAACTAGAAAGCTCTGATATTGTTTTAAATTCACGAATAATCAAGAACAATCAACAGTCAGAATTCCATAGTCAAGAAAGAGGAAAAGAAACCAGCATTTACACCTCTAAAACATACAAATTTGTAAGATTATGTACATCATAAACCCTAATTTTATGCTATTCCCGATTCCTTATCTAAGATAGGAATCATCGGGATCACAAATGGCAGCTGGAATAATAAGAGGCAACTTCTCTATGTACACAAACAACCTCTTCTTATTTTTCTTTTGAAATTACACTCAGATCAACGACTTCATTCGCTTCAATGCAAATCCACAAGTCATCCACATTAACTTCTTTAAGGCTATCCCTACAGATGGGCATGATCTGGATCGCTCATGCCTAAACAACAAATGGGAATATGATTAGGTCAAATTCATGGAAATAACAACATACTTTACTTATTTTACCAATATATAGACAAACATACTTTACTTTTCTATCATAATAACAATGTATTATATTTTACCAATAACAATGTATTTAGTATTTACATTGTGCTATTCATGTAATTATGGGTCCCATTTACTTGATGTAAGAGAGAAACTTACCAATCTCGATAGCACTTCAAGCACACAAGAATGGCTGCAATTCGGGGTAACACAACTCTACTATTTGTTTCCATGCAAATCCCGCATTCGATTTCTCTTTCTACATCAGCATCCGAGAGTTTTCCCTTGTCAAAACCTTCTTTTCTTGAATATCTTTTCGAGTATATTTCCTTTTGTTTCCTCTCTTCCAAATCCGTTATCCCACTTTGGAGTTGCAATATTGAAGGAAATAGAACATCTGTTAATGTAAAAATGCACAATTTTAGAACATAATGAGCGGATTTTAATCATTCATTTTTCAGAACTCGAGATAGAAATGAAAATGATTGGTTTTGAAATGTGACTCACCATAAAAGTCTTTGATGCTTGCTCTCCTTTCTTGAATGCACATGGTAGTTTTGCCATCAGCAAACGTCTGTTTTTCCATCAAGATTCGTGAGTTCAATGCAAGGGCAAAACAGTAATTTGGTAGATATAAGGGAGGAGATAATAGATATACCATATAAATGAAAATCCGAAGCAACCCAAGGGCACCCGCGATTTTACAATCCGTCCATGGGAAGAAGAAGGAGAACAAATCGATGGCTGGACTGCAAGAGAGTCTCATCTGCAGGGTTGCTCC